GTGAGTGGAAATAAGAAATAATACTCTTGGGTATTACCCATAGGTTTCGATTTCATATTTCATCCTGCTTCTGACATTTGTCTTCCGAGAATGTGCCATTAAAGAAAACGTCTTCTAGACAATTTTAAACACTCACTTATAGGCCCCAAGTGATGGAAAAACCATATCACTGTTAACGCGCAAGCCAGTAACAAGCAGCTTGAACCAAGAAACAAACCATTGAAAATTGGAGATTTCGTTTCTACATCGCCCTCCTTCCTATATAAATAAGGCTACAAGTCTCTCGATGTTTGCAACTCGCTCTAGTGTTTAATCATCTGCGAATTTTGCAAACTTATAATAGCAGCACGGTTGTAGTACTGTAGAAGAAAGAAATGGAGCTTAAAAGCAATACTCTTTTGTCTAAGATAGCCACTAACGACGGCCATGCAGAGAATTCACCTTATTTTGATGGCTGGAAAGCGTACGACAGCAACCCTTTTCACCCCACTCAGAACCCACATGGTGTCATTCAAATGGGACTTGCTGAAGATAAGGTGTATTTATAAATACTTTTATATATATATTAAAGCATCATGCACGAAGGTTACATCTTCCTAATTTTCATTTGTCAGCTTTGATTTGATCAAGAAGTGGATTCTGGAAAACCCTGGTGCTTCCATCTGCACTGCTCAAGGAGTTGATAAGTTCAACGATATTGCAATCTTTAAGGATTACTACGGCCTCAAAGAGTTCAGAGAGGTACCAAAATAACGCAATAATCACTTTTTTTTGCTGAATACTAGATACGAGTATACCTGTATACGTCCAACATAATATATAAGTGTAAAAACTTAGTAATGACGAACGTTATTTTCTTCAGGCTGTTGCAAAGTTTATGGGAAGGGTAGGAGGAAACAAGGTTACATTCGATGCGAACCGAATAGTAATGAGCGGCGGAGCCACCGCAGCTAACGAGACAGTCATGTTTTGCTTGGACGACCCAGGCGACGCTTTTCTTGTACCTTCTCCTTATTATGCAGGGTACGTACTTCCATTTAGGTGTACATTTTCTTTTGATTCTTGCTCAAAGGGATTTCTATTTAAAATTTGAACTTTAAACAATTATGCAGATTTGCCCGGGACCTAACGGGGCACACTGAGTTGGAAACAGTTCCAGTTGACTGCAAAAGCTCAAACGGTTTCCGTTTAACGAGAGAAGCCTGGAAGATGCCTACGAGAAAGCACAAACATGGAACATAAACGTCAAAGGAGTCATCATAGCCAACTCTTGGAACCCATTAGGCATAATCCTGGACCCAGACACGATAAGAAGCATGGTCAGCTTCGTTAACGAAAAGAACATCCACCTTGTCTGAGACGAAATCTACGCCGCAACGGTCTTCAGCTCTCCTAGATTCATTAGCATTGCCGAGGTTATCCAGGAGATGGATAATTGCAACCGTGATCTCATTCACATTGTTTACAGCTTGTCCAAGGACATGAGGATCCCGGGTTTTCGAGTTGGTATCGTGTATTTGTTCAAAGACGAAGTTATGCGTTGTGCTCGCAGGATGTCGAGTTTCGGGGTAGTCTCATCGCAGATGCAGTATTTGCTTGCTTCGATGCTTTCGGACGACGAGTTCGTGGGAAATTTCCTGAGGGAGAGCTCCGTGAGGATGGCCAAAGGCACCATGTGTTCACCAAGGGGCTGGAAAAAGTTGGGATTTCTTGCTTAGCAAGCAACGCCGGTTTGTTTTTCTGGATGGACATGCGACCGCTACTTAAAGAGCAATCTCTTCGGGGAGAGTTGGAGTTGTGGCGTGTGTTTATCAATGAAGTGAAACTCAATGTTTCTCCGGATTCATCGTTCCGATGCTCCGAACCAGGTTGGTTTCGAGTCTGCTTCGCAAATATGGACGACGAGACCATCGAGGTAGCCCTAGACAGGATTAGGGCGTTCGTGCTAGGTCGATATAACCAAGAACCGGACAAGTCGAAACATGGGCAAAAGAAACGACTTCGCCTCAGCTTCTCTTCTCTAGGTTATACGATGATAACATCATGTCTCCGCACATAGTCCGGGCGAGTACTTAACCAATACTTAAAGCAGCCTAAAACCTAAATCTTCTATCTTTTAATTCGACCCCATATTATTAAACCATTCGAACTAAGCTCCGTGATACTGATGTTTTCCTTTAAAATTTTGGATAAAGTACACAAATAGTCCCCTGACTATATAGTACGGCTTTATAGAAACCATTGACTATTAAAAGTTATAAAATGGTCCCTTGACTATAGGGAGTTTTTTTATTGAGTCCCTTAACTATTAAAAGTTACAAAATGATCACTCGACTATTTATTATATTTAAAACTCGTACTTTTCCATTAAAAAATTAATAGTCATTTGAGTTTGACGTTAGCATGCTGATTAAGATATGATAGTCTTTTGAGATTATGAGACCAATTTTTATCATATCTCAGTCAACAAGTTAACATACAGCTCATAATGTTATCAATTTTTAACAGAAAATGACGAGTTTGGAACATAATGAATAGTCAGGTGACCATTTTATAACTTTTAATACTCATGAGACTCAAAAAAGCAACTCCCTATAGTAGGAGGACTATTTTGTAACTTTTAATAATTGAGGAACTTGATAAAACAATATTCTATAGTTAATGGACCATTTATATACTATTCCCTAAAATTTTTTGACATTGAAGATTATGATGCATGTAATTATGCATTATTTTCGTTGCGACGAGTTCTCCCTAATCCAAAACCTAACTTAATTGAATAAATTTAAGAAACTTCATCCTAAAATTCAAATTTTATAACAAAAATTTATATTCTATTCAATCAAAATTCATCGAATACAAAAAAATCAACATCCCTGATCTTGATTAAATGATATCAAACTGCTTATCACTTGAACCAATCTCGATTGGTAATTGCCTTTATTTTCAATTCACAGAGTATAGATTAGGTGGAACATTTTCAGAACGAGACAAATATGTCGACAACATGATGAGATCATATGATAGGCCATGGCATTCCATGGCATTCCATGTCCATGCCGAGCATATAGACAACAACACTTGAGACAAACAAACATCGAATGGCATGGAACATGATGCGATCATACATCAGGTGCATCATCACAAATAGTAATATATACATGTATAGTCGCATTAATGACTCTCCAAGAAATCGTGAAGCTTTCAAGTAATCCAGAAGCCATTTATTCCATGGCTTACTGAAAGGATATATCCTTAGCCTACGAATCCATTCCAAAAAACTATATGTTATAAAACGAAACGATTTGAAATGAATATTGGACCGATCAGTTTTTTTTCAAACCCGAAAACCAATGAGTATAAAATTATGTTTTAGTTAATAATTTGGAGGACTTATTAATAATGTTTTGAGTAAAATATGTGTTTAGTACCTAAACTATCATTTTTAGTCTGTTTTAGTAGCTAAACTTTTGATTTTTTTTCAAAATCATACATAAAGTTGAATTTCTATTTCATTTTAGTGTCTTGCCTTTAAAAATTATAGTTTTTCATTTTAGTACACCGTTCAAGTTTAACATTATATTTTGAAAAAAAATTGAAAGTTTAAATACTAAAATAAACCAAAACTGATAGTTTAAGTACTAAATATACAATTTATGCTAATGTTTTGGGGGTTTATTTAGCGTAAATTTGACTAGGCTTTTGAAAAGTTACTTTTAAAAGTGTAGTGGAAAAGAGCTTTTAAAATGCAGTTTCAAATTTAATTGTTTGAGATTTTATTAAAAAATGAGTTTGAAGAGATAAAATGTTCATTATAGACATTATTTTGTAAATTAAAAATATAAAATTTAAATTATATTTACACTTATTAATACTATGATATATAACAAATATATTAACTTAAACTAGAATAAAAATATTTAAAAACATTTTAAGATAAATCATTAATAATATTTTTACAAATGAAATATTTTATTAAGAAAAAAATATATTATCAACATTTTTTAATACTTAGATAAAAAATTATTACGAAATAATATTTTAAATACTTTTTCTGACAACAAATATTACAAAAAATACATTAATCATTGCAAATTAAAATGAATTTTAATATATAAACCATAAATTTTATTTATTTTTAAGTAATTAAAATAAATTATTAATTAGTGAATTATTTTCTAAGAATGTTAATATTAAATTATTAAAATAAAATGTAAATGCATAATCGAATGAAATTCATACATTAGTAAAAGTAAAACTATAATTTGCTTCCAAACATAAAGTTAAAATTAAAAATATTATAAATCTTAGCTTTTGAGTTAATTTAAAACCACTATTTTCACCGTTATTTTTTTTTACTTATTTAATATTAATTTTATGATTAAAACGAATTATTTTAACTAAAAGTGTATTTAAAAAATCACACTAACCGGTACTCATTAGGAACAGAGCAGGGGCTAAACGTGAGGGTAATCATTGAAGTGGCGGTGCTGAAAATTTGACGACAAGTAATGCTTTGATTTTTCACATAACCAACATTGCTAGGGTTTTATCTTCAATTATGGGTCACATGGATTTTCAATTTTAATACTCGAAATCGTACAATTCCATGGCAAGGGTCTTCACGTGGGATATTGCCTTAAAACAGTTGTCTCTTGTTATTATTGTTCCTACTCCATTAAGTTATTTAAAAAATCCAATTAATTTATCTGAATCAGATTAAGGTGAGCTATTAAATGACAAATCAAGTGATGGAACTTATGAAGCTTTTAGATTCAAGAATAAATGTGACAATTGATGCATTCTTTCATGTTAATATATATATATATATATAAAAGTATGGGCTTACATTACTTGAAACTGCAGACCTTATGCTGTCCAGCTAACTATCAATGGCTGCTAAGCTCTGATAATAGAGACAGAGAGAGGGAGGGAAAAAGAAAAAAAGTAATGATTACTTGAAAGAACCGACCAACGGATAGGGACCATTCAGTTCTGAAGTAGGAGAATTGATTGATAGATCCACTAGTAAAAGACCCACAAAACAATAAATGAACATTGACATGTTACAACAGATTGTAATAAGAATTTCACAGTGGGCCGCCATTGCGCATGTGAAGCTATTGCTTTTGTCTTCTTTGTTTCAAAACAAGTTCCAAAAGTTCATTTATTCAAAACACATTACTAGTGCACGGTGAAAAAAAAAGGATCGAAAGAGCCATATCACTATCTATATACAAAGGAGTTGTATGTATATTCTCATTGATGACATTGAATTTCATCAATCGGAGAGAAAGCAGATCATTTTCAACAAATAACACAAGCATTTGGGTTCTCTTCCATGCTTTGAACGTAGTAATATGTGGTCATATGAGGATTGTATGCTCTGTAAGCCTTGACCATCTCCAAAACAGGGTCTGGTGGTGGTGGCTGTGGCTTCTTCTCTTCTTTCTTCCCTTCTTCTTCCTTCTTTTCTCCCCCTTCTTTCTTTTCTCCTCCTCCTTTCTGCTGCTCCTCTTTCTTTTCACCTTCGTCCTTCTTTGGCTCCTCTTTCTTTTCACCTTCTTCCTTCTTTGGCTCCTCTTTCTTCTCCGGTTCCTTTGCCGGACCCACCGATACTATGTCGGTTGGCCAGTACTTGCGCAGCTTGCTTACAACGTTCACGGGGTCGACTGTGCCGATCACCGTTAATTGCCTTGTTTTCATATCCATGGCAATGGAATCAATTCCTGCAGAGTTCAACCCAAATATGTTATGAAATTCAAGCGCAAGTGTTCGATACTCCGTAAAGATTAAAGCTTTCTCAAGATTATGTACCTGAAAGAGTTGAGACTGCCTTTAAAGCCTTCTGCTTGGCTTTGTCGTCGTGCAAATCGAGCTTCAACACAACCTTCTGCACATACAACACAACAGATCTGCTTCAGAGCCATCTATGCTTTTTTATATAAGCGCAAATCAAGTTATGAATATATATGAACACAAACACAAATCAAAAGTATATACAAAAGGATCAAAACCCAGAAAAGGAAAACAGATAATTCAGTCAAAAACAGAAAGAAAAACCCAAAATAGGAACCGGACCTTCATTTCCGTTTAGAATCTTCTTCAGTTTCTTTTTGAGGGAATTATAGAGAACCAAAAACCCAGAACAAAGATGATTCGAGAGAATGCGTGCAAAATGGTGGAGGGAGGGGATAAAAAGGCAGGGAAATGTGAAGAGAAGACGAATTGGGATAATGCTGGGCTTGAAACAGATTGAAAATTTGACAGCAAATGGGGGAAAACAAGAAAATCCAAAAAATAAAAGAGAAGGTGGACCAGAGGAAGGGAGGGAGAGCACTAATGGGGCTGATACGGAGGGAAGTGAAAACAAGTGGACATGAACGGGGGAGTTTATAAGAGCGAGGGAGAGGAAGAAAGATGATGAAATACGAAAGAAAAGCAGTAATACCGAGTATCGCTGTCTAGTCACCTCCACGCTATTGAAAGGTGCATCGTAACCACACCGTTGCCTCATTCTCCCCCGTCCCACATTTTACGAATATTACTGCTCAACATAAAATTCATAAAAAGGTAAAAGTATACAAATGGTCTCCGACTATAAGATATTGCTTTAATAAGTCTATCGATTATTAAAAGTTATAAAATAATCACCCAATTTTTCATTATGCTTTAAACTCGTCACTTTCGTTAAAAAATTGATAGTTTTCTATGTTGAACTTTGACATGATGATTGAGATATGATAGTCGTTTGAGATTTTATGATCAAATTTTATCATATCACAATTAACATATTAACGTTTAACTCGGAATACCATCATTTTTAACAGAAAATGATGGGTTATGAACATAATAAATAGTCTGGTGACCATTTTGTAACTTTTAATAGTTGATGGACTCAATAAAGCAGTACTCTATAGTCGAATGACTATTTGTAATTTTTAATAATCAAATGACTTAATAAAGTATTACCCTATGGTAGAGAACCATTTATTTATTAATGTTTAAGGTTAATTTTTACTTTTTTATATGATATAAAGCATATATAATATTGTTTGAACTTAAATTATTTAAAAATATTTATATTTAAATTCATTGATTGATTTTAATAGTAAACATTCTTTTTAAAGAATTCGAATTTAATTAATTGCGTGTGTAGTATGTAAGTCTATAACTAAACACATAAATTATAAGACAAAGTACACAAATGATCTCTTGACTATAGAGTATCATTTTATTGAGTCCTCCAACGATTAAAAGTTATAAAAGGGTCATCTAACTATAGGAAATTATTTTTTAAGTCTCATGACTAATAAAAGTTACAAAATGGTCACTTGACTATTCATTGTGTTCCAAAATCATCTTTTTTCGTTAAAATTTTGATGGTAGTTTGAGCAAGACGTTAACATTCTGACTGAGATATAATAGTCACTTGAGATTCTAGGATCATGTTATCATATCTTAGTTAGCAAATTAACGTACAACTCAAACTGCCATCAATTTCTTAACCAAAAGGAACGAGTTTGGAACACAATGAATAGTCGAGTGATCATTTTATAACTTTTAATAATCGGATAACTCAATAAAATAACACCTTATAGTCGGGACCATTTATGTATTTTACTCTAAATTATAATAGTTGTTCAAATACATCATAATTGTATAATTATATGCATGTGCACGTAATTTTATTAGGGGTGAACTATAAAAAAATAGTCCCCAAACTTTTAAGGTGCTTGCATTTTGGTCACCCAACTTTTGAAACTTGCAATACAATCATCAAACTTTTAGTTCGTTTTCATCTATGTCTTTGTCGTTACCTTCGTTCGATTTTTGCTATCGTGGTAGGTAACGCCTGTTAACCCACCACCACCTCCTCCTCCTCCTCTGAAAACCCTAGCCTCCAAAAAATCAATAACCCATTGAAAATCATAACCTCCACAGAATCAGCACTTGTTAGGACATCTCCTTCACGTGCAACACTGCTCCTTTCCCTTTCCCCTTCATCGTTACAAGGATGAAGCTGTGGCCTCGCTCGTAAGTCGTAAACAGTTAACAATAATCAGTGATTATGACGGCATACAACATAGAAACCTAAACTCGGAGTTCCAAAGTACAAAACAAAGTAATAAGCCGCAAGCTCCTAGAATTAATAAAGAACGGAAGCTAAAATATAAAATCATCTAAAGACCAGCTCAGAGAATCAAATCAAAATAAGATTTCTAGTACATTCTCTACAGGATTTAATAAAACGTAAGATAAAAATAAACTTACATCTAGTTGAACCGAACATCATCTTTTCTGTTGTTCTTTCACTCCACAGCTCGTCCTTCATCTCAAACAGAGAAGCAAACAAGAAAACTTCAATATGTAATACATCAATAAGCTAAACACAATCCATGCGAAATTTGAATCAACATTGTAAAAGTAGATTAAATGTGGTAAACATGAAGCGATGAGCCTAACTTCCGATCCATCTTTCAGCTGAATTTCAACCTATGTTTATCCTTTTTCCCTCCGAAGAATTTATTTAACACTACAAATAAACAATGAAATATATATATATATATATACAGTGAAGCAAAGAGAAACATGTATATTAGCAAGGTGTTCGATGCTTTAACGAATCGCGGGCGACTCCTTAGCTAAGATAAGCACTTCCAGAAACCTATTACATTACAAAAGGAAAAATGGAAACAGTGAAGCAGTGGGAGTGGGAGAGGATAGATAAATAAAAGAGAAATAGCTTTTGGAGAGAAAACGAAGGCTTTTGGGGGATCGATCTGAAGCGGGAGACTGGGAGAGAGAGATTTAGAGCCCCGAATTAGAAAGGGGGTGGTTGGGCGGGGAGAGCCCCGAATAGAGAGACGAAGGGGCGGGGGTTCGTAGGCTCGGGTGATTATCGTATCGTAGCGTTTTTCGGAATTTGCTCTATGGCGCGTGAATGTAACATATCGCGTATTTGACAGATAACTTCAAGAACTGAAGGCACGGAAAGTCGCCGATGTGGGCCTCTAGTTGGAGCGTGGTCCCTACCGGTCAAATTTCTACGTCCCAAGTTTCTGCAATTAAACGCAGCACATATTTCTTTTCTAATTATTACATTATCTCCATTAATAAATCATTTTCATAATAATTTTTATTTCCTCTCAGCTCCAAGGTTTTGTCTTAATTAATTCAGATCGACCTACGTCGTACACTTGATTTTTGGTGGGTGAGTCTCCCAGCATGAATTTTCTGCATACACAATGACTCGAACTAGTGATCTTACTTAAGCGATAGCAAATTGTTTACCACTTGAAATAATCCTTGTTGGCTCATAATAATTATTTTAATATTTAAAATGACTGATTTTTGCATTATTCATTCAATCTAAATTCAATTATTCAAGAAAAGTAAAAAAAAAACTTAAAAAAATATTAAAATTAATTTGAAAACTAAAACACATAATTAGTAATGATAATTTATAAAACTAAATAAATTTCAACCCTTACCTACTCTCCATGAAATAATTTGAGCTGTGGGTCAAATATTCAAATGGGTTTGGGTTTGGATTTGGGTTTGAGTTGAGGTGTTTTTAAGAATGATGCCGTAAATATTAAAAATCACGGTTATTTCAGTTGCAGTGTACTAATTTTTATGAATGTCTCATGAATTTTAGTATTATTACAAAAAATAAGTAAATAAAAGTATCATTTTGACGTATATATATATTTGTTATTTGCCTCGTTAATTTTAGGTTTAAAAGTTGCCTCTGTAGATTCAATTTATCATTTTTATCCATATCATATTTTTATATTAATTTGGTTTTTAAAATTGTTTAATTGTATTATTCTATATCATGTTCCTAATTTAAAACTCTAAATTATAAATCCTATGACATGTTTATGATTTAGAAGTTATGAAATTATTGTTTAGAATTCAAGGTTTTATAATTTAAAGTTTTAAATTAGAGAGATAAATTGATGTAAAATATGATATGGATGTAAGTGATAAATTAAGTATAATACATAGTAAAAAGTTACCTTTTTAATATTTAATTATGTTACCAAGAGAGTTGAAATGGTCTGACATGGAAGGGTAAGGCTGGGTGCACGTTAATTAACAGCATTTTTGAAGTTTGAACCATAAGAATTACCGAAAGTGAAATGTGGAGGACCCCGACGGCATTTAGTGGCTGGGTTCCCTTCTTCAGACATTCATTTCTGGTAAATCAAAGCTGCCATCTTCACTTTTCCTTTTTACATATTACAACCCACTTAGCAACTTTAAACAAAATGTTTTTTTATAAATTGGTACAGCAGCAGCCACGTGTATTCAGCATTTGACTAAACATTCTTAACAGAATTTAGCTTTAATTATTTTATTTCCAGCTCTAGAATTACTGTCAACTTGTCACGGTGAAATAAAGACTTCCATGATGAACTCGTTGAAAACTTTTACCACACATTTATTATTTGATCTTTATGGGTGGAGGACAGGACTAGGAGCAGTAGCTTTGATTTTGCAGAGTGCTTTGCATGGCGACAGTCGGTGATACACGTAAACGTATCTTTTCATTCTTTTGGTTGCTGTCGATCCATAACCCAAAAGCCTGAAAACGCAGGCTTGTTTACCGCCTACATCACCATTTTGAAAAACTAAGTATTTATTGAAATTTTCATTTTTTTCCGTGCACACAAAATATATATATATATATAGGTAAAAGGATAAGTTTTATATTTGAAATTGTTCAATTGTATCATTCTACACTTTATCTTTAACTTAAAAACCTAAAATATAAACCATAAACTCTAAATCATAATCTCATAACCTCTAAACCATAAACCTTGAACTCTAACTAAGAGTTTATAATTTAAAATTTTGAGTTAGATGTAGGGTATAAAATAATATAAACAAATAATTTTAAAAGTTAAATTGATGCGAATTAGGATAGAGTCAAAAATAATAAATTAAATATACTAACAAAAGTAACCTTTAATTTATGGGACATCGGAGGGGTTGATAGATAATTCTTATACATTGTCGACACTTGATTTCGGCATAAATATTGATATTTTAAAAACAATATATTTAGATGAAAAAACTAGAAAAGATTAGGTAGCCAGCCTATATAACAGATAACGTAAGCTTGGCCCATTGAGTTGAGAGGTGAGGTCCACAAGAGCTCAAAGGGTAGCTTCCACTTGTATCGTATGTGTGGTTTTTCAATCCTACTTTGCTAGAATTCTCCACAGCCATTTAAAAGGTCACAGGTATTCAAAGAAAGTGCAACCATTTCAAGTATAATCATTTGTAATTACAATAACCCAGAGTAACCCCAACCGAATTAAGAACATTGAACTCGTTCCAATTCAGAGGGCAGCAAATTTGAGCAAGAGAATTAATACATAGCCATGGAACGAAACTATTAATAAAAAAACCATTTATCTATACCCAAAACCCATGTCCAACTCCGGGTTGTGGCTGTCACCGTGATCATACATCCCTTGGCTATTGCCGGCCG